GGGGGGGGGGGGGGGACTGTTGGCCTTGTTGAGGAGAAAAAGACAATTTGCCTTCAAAGAATAGTCTCACATTGCCTAATGTAAGGGATGGTTGGATGTTTAAATTGGTTCTCCTCTCTTTATCCCTTAAGGGCCCCCAAGAGGAGGGTGTTTTGTATTTTTCAATTTGTTTGGGTTTTGCATATCACACACACGCGCACACGCGCCTTGCCGCACCGCACCTGCGCTCGCGCCCGCGCCCACCTGCCTCACCGTGTTTTGAATTTTCAATTTAATTTTTCCGTTTTCTTTTGACTCGGCTTTTAACAATATGGAGAAAGTGCGGGAAGAACTCAACGGTTGTGTGAGATTTGGATAACATGCAGGCGCAATTTGTGAGGAACGTGCGGAAATTCTCAACGGCTCTGAGGGTTTCTCAACCCTATAAATTCCGCCTCTAATCAGTTCGGAAAATACACAACACAAAAAGCTTTTCTCTTCTGTCTTCTCTCTCTCAAAAACTCGCTAACTCGCTATTTGAATTTCGTTCGTTATTAATTTTTTGGGTAACCGTCTTCATCTGAGAAGAAGCTCTATAATCTCGGCCGAGTATAGAGGCCGGCTATTTTCGGGGGGTTTTACTTCTAGGGATAGGGGATCATCTGTGTCAGGGCGATAGGCGAGTTCTCAATCTTCTAGGGCAGTGTAATAATTGCACGATTGCCACCCGATCAGGCTAGATTTTCTGTTCTTTTTATTTGGATTTATTTGCATGCTTTAAGTTTATTTAATTTTTCGTTAACATTTCTCCCATACGGAAAATCCACAAGCCAAAGAAGACCTTGACTTTTCAAGTAAAAGATTCAACTTTTAGTTGGCTGTTATGATTGGGAATTCATTCACACAGTAAGAAACTAAGCACATCATGGAACTAAATTACCGTATTTCACAAAAATTCAGTAATTTACAAACCACATATGGACTTGCATCAAATCCAAACAATAAAATTCAAGGAATGAGGTCCAGTAAACAATGTACCGAATCCATGACAAAATATTAAAACAGCAGAAACTATGACTAAATGTGAGCCAGTACAACAGAAACAAAGTAGTCATTTGTATAAGCTTCAAAACCAGAATAAACGAACAGAAGTTGGCAAGATAGCTTGCAGAAAAATAAAAGACTACTAACCATTCCATGGAACATGCACCTAAAATTAAAAGTGAAATCCAGCACTTAAAACATGTGAACTCTTCAAGATAAGTGTTCTATTGAATATTCCTTTTAGATCACCTGTAGATAGAGCTTTGATTCTGTGTTCCTTTTCTATATAAGACACTACTCTTTTAGAGTTGTTTTTACAGCATGATGCCATAATCTATGTAATAATATCACTTATTTGCCTGCTGGTGAGAACTTCAACATGTTTCTAAGTGAGGTATGCTCACTTGAAAGCTACTTGTGCAACTCCAAACAAACCTTTAGATTTTAATTTGATACTAGATCTACTCACTGGCGATTTAATTTAATATTTTAATAGGTTTGAGGTAGGACTTGACCCTAGAATCTGAATCCCTACTGGTATTTTGATCTGTACATTAACTATTTATTTTTAATAGGTTCCAATTGCAATTATCCTCCAGCTTGTTCATTTTGTAAGAATGTTTTGCATGTTCCCAACACAGGGAAAGTCTTCTTTTGTACATCTATGTTTTTTCCCCTGGATCTGACCATTATTTTCTGCAGTATAAAAACTAGAGTAAGGTCTTCATCAACCATCAGCCAGAGTGTAAGTGCTCTTGATCTATCGGCGAAGGACAAATCTGCAAAAACTCCACGAAGGCTCTCAATACCCACCAAGTCTGCCTTTAGTCCTCACCAAGCTTCGGTTGGAAGCATTACACCAGTATCAGCAACCGGAGCCAGGAGGTCAAGCATTCAGCAAAAAAGTGATACACAGTTATCTGATGTTTCAAAGTCATCATGTAGGCTGTACTATGTCTCTTACTGGTTAACACAGATCAAACTTGCTGAATCAGCTTCCAAACACTCGGTTTCCCTTGGTTTCTTCAAGCTTGCTCTGGAGTTAGGATGTGAGGTATGTCAAATGTAAACATCGGGCCCATTTGAGATTCATGCCCTTTTGTTGCTTTTTTTTTTCTGCAGAAAATATTCATGACTTCTGTAGTGTACGTGTGTCTTGAGTTGAGGTTGCTATTAGAAAGGATTATAGTCCACTATATATATATATATATATATAGTATATATTAACATTAATATCTATATATGTATATATATATATATATATATATATAGAGAGAGGAGAGAGAGAGAGAGAAATTCTTATCGTCACATTAAGGTTGGGTCATTCACCAAACTTTCTTTCATTGATGGTAGCCTAGGGGATCCATGCACAATAGAGAGGACTTGTTATATATATATGAGCTGGATAGCAAAGTTGACAAGTTGGGTGGCAAAGGCTCTTGTTCCACTTAAGTTAACATATTCACTCTCTCTCTCTCTCTCTCTCTCTCTCTCTCTCTCTCTAAAGTGATATATATTATATATATAGTATAATATATTAATATTATATATATAGTATGATATATATATAAGTAATATATATATATATAGTGAGATTAAATGGGTTCGTTGTCCATTTATATAATGATGACTGAGTTGGGATAGAAAGTTTGAAAGTTTGAGTTAGAAAAGGGCCTCTTGTCCACTTAAGTTGACATAAGTTCACCTCTCTCTTCTCTTTATATTATTTAAGTTGAGAGAATGGGTATCTTTCATTTATATATATGAGTGGATAGGAAAAGTTGAAAGTTTGGTGGACAAAGGCCTCATTGTCATTAAGTGACATTAAGTTCACCTCCTCCTCTCTCTCTCTCTTCTCTGATATATATATATACTATATACTATTATATATATATATGATATATATTATATATTAAAGTATATAACGTTATATATATATATACTAATGAGCAAGACCCTATCAAACTTATAGTTTGAGTGTCGCACCAAGTTCCCCTAAGCCACACATGTTATAATATTAAACACCTTTTATTAATACAATGTCCCTAGCCATTTGAATGGTTAAAAACTTTGGTGGACAACACTATCCGTATCCGCTTAAGTGACATAAGTTTTCACACTATATATATTTATATTATATATATAATGAGGAATTAATGTGTATCCTTGTCATTGGAGCGGGATTCCCTTCCTGACGCCTATGTGTACAATCCCCACCATTCTCTAATCAGGAGAGAGAGTGTGAGTTGGTGGGATTTTGGCTGTGCCTACTTTATGAGGATGGTGGGGATTGTGGCCACATAGGTGACAAGGAGGGAAATCTCTTCCTATGACAAGGGATAGCCACATTAATATCTCTCTCTCTCTCTCTCCTCCTCTCTCCTCTCGTATCTTAATATATATATATATATATATATATATATTATATATATATATATGATGTGTGTGTGGTGTGTGTGTGTGTGTGTTATGTATAATGTCGGTGCGGGTACGTATGTGCGTGCGTGCACGTGTGTGTTTGTGGGTGCGCGTGCGTGCTTGTTAGTATTCATGTGTTTACGTGCATGTGCGTGTTGGTGTATGAGTGTGTGCATTTACATAGGCGACAGAAAAACATTCTGCCCCTGAATTTGCTGTCTTTTTTGAATATCTTGCTGCAAGCTTTTAAGTTGTTAAGTGGTTAAAACAGAAAGTCCTCTATAGCTTTTTGGCTGGAAGGACAAAGAATTGAAGAAAATTTCAATTTTAGAGTTAATCTTGTGTGATTTGTATGAGGTTCTTGTATACAACAAATCAATGATACATTGATACCTAATCTTGTATTACAAAATCAGCGTAATTTGTTTTTGGTGAATGATGTGATTTACACCTGCAGCCCCTCCAGCGGATAAGGGAGGAGCTTAAATCATATGTACACAAACACAACCTTTTAGCAGAACTTGGAGAAGCTACAAAAGATCTCCTTCAGAGATATAACATATTAGAAGAAGAATCTGAGCACCTAAAACTCTCTGAGGACAGTTCTAAGTTACAGGAAAACGGAAGTACTGCTTCAAACCAAAACATTCGCAGCTCTTGTGCTTTAACAGGGTCTGGGAATCAGAAACCCAAGTCATTGATTTCAAAAGCCCTTACTGTTTCAGAAGCAAAGGAGGTCCAGAGAGTGCCTGTGGCTAAGGAAAAGCCATCAAGCATCAAGAATCCAGGGCATTTTGTCGCTGTGAAAGATGCCAATGTTAATAATGCACAGAAGAAATCTCTGAAGCCAAGCAGGGTTGATTCCAACCGTAGCAATGCAAAAGTCAAGAGTTTAACAACGGAAGCTCTTAGCAAGAAAGGTACTACTTAGTTGAAGTACAATACTATACTTCCTTCCCCAAGTTTATAGTTTAAAGATGGCTTGTAGTTGTAGTTTATGCTCTGTTGTTGGATGTGGATGTTTGTGTTGAAAAAATGATTTTTGCTAAGACAAAATATATTCACAAGCTCTATCTCTCGTGTTTGCATTATCGAATTTAGAATAGAATCAGTTAATTCCAAAACTACTACTGCTTTTGTTCTCTTTATATGTATACTGTTTTCTCCTATTTGATTATATAAAAAATCAATATTGATGCTCCATTTATCAAATACTTGAATGCAACTCTTGGTATAACAAACTTAATGTTCTATGACTGTAAAAAAATATTTGATCCATTGGTTTGTTTTCATATATTTCTTGAATATTCTTCCTTCTTTAGGTGATTTAGTTGATCCAGCTCTTACTGGGGAGGCAGCGATTGAAGACAGAGACATACTTGAAGATAAAGAGAACATGGTAAGGTCACTCTTGTCATCCAAAGATAACTTTTCTTTGTTTCTTGTTTCCTTCATTCTGGCTGATAATATTATACATGTGACGCTCATATTTCCTCCTCCTCCTCCTCCTCCTCCTCCTTATTCTTTTTCCGTTTTTTGCTTTTTTGTTCAAATAGCATTATCATGTCAGTTTTATTTCTTTGTTTTGAACATTTAAACAAGAGAACTCAATACTCATTATGTAACAATTTCATCGTCGCTGCAATTAGTACAGTATTGATCTTACTTTGTATAGGATTCCCAGTCCATAAATGGGGCTGTGTTGAAGGAAGATGTTCAGACATAAGCCTTCGATGTATCAACTTTTGTCTGCTGAAGTGAAGTTAGCCTCTGTTGCCTGTTTCTGCAGAAACTGAAGTTTGTTGCTGTTGATATTTATTTATAAGCAATCAAAATATCAAAACTAAAAAAGAAAAAAAGAAGTGAACATAATATGAGTGTGTCTGTGTCTTTGCTTTAGACTATCGAGTGTGGTGCTTGTGTTTTGGCTAAAGTGTGATGTATTGCTGCTATTATCCTTTATCATTTCTAAGTA